CCTGCCCCTGGGCTACGAGGCACAGCGCAGGATGGCTGAGCGAGGGAGGAAAAGACAGAGACCAACAGATGAAACTCACATTTATGTGCTAAAAAACACAGAGACCAAATTGATTTTGCCAAAGCAGGCAGAAGAGGAGAAGGAAAATGGAAATTTGGAAAGTGACTGCAAATAGAACTTCCTCATGATGAGTGAGGCTTTTTTCTACCTCATCACTTCCCCGAGTGTGACAGCCAGCCTTTACGTTGAACGATGGCCGGTCTGCCAGCAAAGCGGAGGAGAGATGCTAGCGCCGCCGCTCACTCTGAGACATGTGACCCAGAGTCTCCGTGTGTCCACGCCATCCTGTGTTGTTTCCACTGGAACTGGCTGTGAGTCCTTCAGGGCCTCCTGGTTACACAACAGCACATATTCCTGCTAGATGTCACTGTTGAATTAAACTTTCAGTAATGGGTCATTCCCATCTGTACCGGGTCGGCCCGGGCCGGGTAGCCCAGTCGGCCCCAGCCTGACCCGGTTGATTCCACACATCCTTGTCTTAAGCCCATGTGGGCTGATTCTAGCCACCAATCAGAGGCTTGCTCTAATGGAAGGTGTGCATTTGCTGTCAGCAGTGGGTGTGTTGGCCCTGGTCGGCCTGAAGCAGACCCCCTCGAGAAGAGGGCTGAGAATGAGCCTTGGTTGGCCCGGAAAGATACCGGGCCACCCAGATATGTAAACAACCTACGCTACCCGGCCCGGGCCGACCCGGTACAGATGGGAATGTCCCATATGTAATCCAGATTATTCAGCACATGTTCAGGTGACCATAACTCATGCTTTCAGCCGCTGGACGCTTGTGATACTGCAAGAATGAGCACAACTTGATATATTCAAACTCGGATTGCTAACACTTCATGAAATTGGTTTTTGTTTCTTTTTTCTCTATTTCAATAATTTTTTATTTTGTAAAGTTTGTCATCCTTACTTTTGTCTTCTGTTTATCTTTAAATTATTTATTTTCATCATTATGGACACAATTGTCAACAATGTAATGGACAAAAAGGTGTTGAAATGAAATTCCAGTTTACAAACATGCTTTTACTTTGTCTCGCCTTATGAGGCTAAATTCTCAGGGTGTTTCAGAAGGAATGAGGAAGTAGCACTTACTTTATTCTTATTCATGGCCCCCTCACACAGCAGTACTTTTCCAAATGGTCCCAGTCACTGGAAAACTCTCTTTTCCTATGTGTGCACACACACCAGCCGCAGAGCTTTTATAACATTGAATTCAATGTATTTCCTGGTTGATGCATTTTTTAACAGTGAGGACTCTGCTGTGTTTATCTGAGCTCTTAGCTTCATCTATGGGTCTCCTCAGGGTTGTGTCCTCGCCCCCCTTTTATTCTATACACAAACGACTGACGGAGGTTACACTGATAACATTACATGTAATCAGGTTTACAGATGAATTTATTGGGTTCTTTATGTAGCGAGAACAAGGCCTGGTTGTTGCTGACTTTTTGTGTGTGGAGCTTCCTTTATAACATCAACGAAGAGAGAAGATGGAAGAAATATTCATTCATTTCATGAAAACCCCTCCAGTAGTGATCCACACTGGAACTTCTTCCAACTCCTGTTATCAGGGCAGAGATGCAGAGCAACATGCTGTAAAACCAATCGACCAGGGAAATTGTTACTGGTAATGGCTTGATCGAGACCCCCCCCCCCCCCCCCTCCCCTTAATGTGATCAGAACATTTTGGACACCACATAATCAGACTACTTCTAAAAACATCTAGACAAAGACTGTTGGTGAGCAGGGTATTAATATTTCTGAGGGTATATACAGTGGGGCAAAAAAGTATTTAGTCAGCCACCGATTGTGCAAGTTCTCCCACTTAAAATGATGACAGAGGTCAGTAATTTACATCATAGGTACACTTCAACTGTGAGAGACAGAATGTGAAAAAAAATCCATGAATTCAAATGGCAGGATTTTTAAAGAATTTATTTGTAAATCAGGGTGGAAAATAAGTATTTGGTCACTTCAAACAAGGAAAATCTCTGGCTCTCACAGACCTGTAACGTCTTCTTTAAGAAGCTTTTCTGTCCTCCACTCGTTACCTGTATTCGTGGCACCTGTTTGACCACATTATCTGTATAAAAGACACCTGTCCACAGCCTCAAACAGTCAGACTCCAAACTCCACTATGGCCAAGACCAAAGAGCTTTCGAAGGACACCAGGAAAAGAATTGTAGACCTGCACCAGACTGGGAAGAGTGAATCTACAATAGGCAAGCAGCTTGGTGTGAAAAAAATCAACTGTGGGAGCAATTATCAGAAAATGGAAGACACACAAGACCACTGATAATCTCCCTCGATCTGGGGCTCCACGCAAGATCTCATCCCGTGGGGTCAAAATGATAATGAGAACGGTGAGCAAGAATCCCAGAACCACACGGGGGGACCTGGTGAATGACCTGCAGAGAGCTGGGACCACAGTAACAAAGGTCACCATCAGTAACACACTACAACGGCAGGGAATCAAATCCTGCAGTGCCAGACATGTTCCGCTGCTGAAGCCAGTGCATGTCCAGGCCCGTCTGAAGTTTGCCAGAGAACACATGGATGATACAGCAGAGGATTGGGAGAATGTCATGTGGTCAGATGAAACCAAAGTAGAACTTTTTGGTATAAACTCAACTCGTCGTGTTTGGAGGAAGAAGAATACTGAGTTGCATCCCAAGAACACCATACCTACTGTGAAGCATGGGGGTGGGAACATCATGCTTTGGGGCTGTTTTTCTGCTAAGGGGACAGGACGACTGATCCGTGTTAAGGACAGAATGAATGGGGCCATGTATCGTGAGATTCTGAGCCAAAACCTCCTTCCATCAGTGAGAGCTTTGAAGATGAAACGTGGCTGGGTCTTCCAACACGACAATGATCCCAAACACACCGCCCGGGCAACAAAGGAGTGGCTCCGTAAGAAGCACTTGAAAGTCCTGGAGTGGCCTAGCCAGTCTCCAGACCTCAACCCCATAGAAAATCTGTGGAGGGAGTTGAAAGTCCGTGTTGCTCGGCGACAGCCCCAAAACATCACTGCTCTCGAGAAGATCTGCATGGAAGAATGGGCCAAAATACCAGCTACTGTGTGTGCAAACCTGGTAAAGACCTATAGTAATCGTTTGACCTCTGTTATTGCCAACAAAGGTTATGTTACAAAGTATTGAGTTGAATTTTTGTTATTGACCAAATACTTATTTTCCACCCTGATTTACAAATAAATTCTTTAAAAATCCTGCCATGTGAATTCATAGATTTTTTTTCACATTCTGTCTCTCACAGTTGAAGTGTACCTATGATGTAAATTACTGACCTCTGTCATCATTTTAAGTGGGAGAACTTGCACAATCGGTGGCTGACTAAATACTTTTTTGCCCCACTGTACATTTAAGTTTACAATGTCATTTATGTAAACATGTATGTCCTGAAGGAAATCGTCTGACCTTTGTCCTGTTGTTCATTCTGGAAATCCCTTCTATGTAACTGAAATTTGAGTGCAGAGAGGGACGGTGGATGAGGGGTAAGGAGCTTGCCCTGTAAGTGGTAGGTTGCTGGTTTGGACCCAGTCTCCATCCGTGTCGATTGCTGTGTCCTTGTAGCCTGGCCTGCCAGACCCGTCCTCTGTTTAATTCTGCACAGAGAGAGAGTCTGGTTACTCACAGGCAGAGAGGCACATGAGGGGCGGGACTAGCCAGCTCAAATATAACCAATCAGAAGAATGGTGGAAATGCCGACTGTACTGCTGACAGGTGGGAGTTTTTTAGCTGTAGTCAAAAATGGCATCTGGCGAAAACATCTTTCTTTAGAAGGGCTTTTAGAGCTTCTACTTGCTGTGGTTTTAAAGACATGTCCAGTTCATTTAGAACAGAGGACAGAGCCGCAGCTAACTTCGCTTCAGGCGCCATCTTCCTTGTTTATGAGAAAGTGGGCATCGCGTTGTGTGACGTACGCTGCTTAGGGCTGATTGGCTAGGTTAGAATTCTCGGGGTGGGGTTATTTGAATGGGAGCGTTACCAGAACCAATGCTTCCCATAAGGAAGCATGGGGCTGGCTGGCCAGGCTAGTGTTCTTGGGCAAGGCACTTCATCCACCTTGCCAGTTGGTCGTGGTCGAAGGTACTAGTGTGTACAGCAGCCTTGCCTCAGACAGCGAGCCCCGGGCCAGCTGCGGCTACAGTGTGTGAGTGGTTGAATGACTGACTGTAGTGTAAAGCGCTTTGGAGTCCTTGGACTTGATGAAGTGCTGTACAAATGAAGGTCATTCATGTATAAGATACACAGAAATGGTGTTTTTTTTTCCTCTGTTGAGGTGAAAAGATTCAAGCCCCATTAGTCGTCGCACACTAGAGTGGTAAAATGTGTTCTTCGCATTTGACTCTGGGGGAGCGGTGAGCTGCAGACACAGCTGCACTCAGGAACTATTTAGTGGGTTAACCCCCCAATCAAACCCCTCAATGCAGAGTGTCAAGCGGGGAGACGTTGGGTCCCATTTTTAGTCTTTGGTAAGACCCGACCGTGGATTTGAGCCCCCAATCTCCCAGTCTCAGAGTGGACACTCATACCACTAGGCCACTGGTCAAAACCAACATGTTCAGCTTGTTCAGTGACGACTCAGCTGAGTGGAAATGTCCCAGTTTAGCCCTGCTCCCAGTCATGCACACACGCGTTACTCAACAGCCATCGCAGACTGTACACACACGGGCTTTTGCTTTACGTGTTGCTGACAAACATTGACTAATCAAAGTGAATCTATGTAAAGGAACACGTGTGTGCCCATCTGACTCGTAGAGGCACTAAAAACCAGCAAGTGAGAAAAATGAAGAAAATTAGAATCCTGAAGTTCTCGGCAACTTGCTCCGTCGGGCATGGCTTCATCTTTCTATTACAGGACTGAAAAGTGTAAAAATGAGTCTGCAGTGGTGCTCATGTTGCTGTCCCCTCCCTCTTCTCCAGTCCTTCTGGCCCAGCCCATAGAGAACGAGTGCATGGAGGGCCTGACGTTGAAGATCACCGACTTTGGCCTCGCCAGAGAGTGGCACAAGACCACGAAGATGAGCACGGCCGGCACGTACGCCTGGATGGCCCCCGAGGTCATCAAGTCCTCCACCTTCTCCAAGGGCAGTGATGTCTGGAGGTGAGTGACGCTGTGTGTGTGTGTGTGTGTGTGTGTGTGTGTGTGTGTGTGTGTGTGTGTGTGTGTGTGTGTGTGTGTGTGTGTGTGTGTGTGTGTGTGTGTGTGTGTGTGTGTGTGTGTGTGTGTGTGTGTAACATTCACCTGCTCTGGGGCCTAAAAACTGTAAACAGACTTAATTCCTGGGAAGTTTGGAGGACGTTTGTTTTTTGGCAGCCTAGATTTGTGATTGTTTTTGTCCTTTTCCCTCTGATGAATCAGCATCTTGAGCACATTTCACATTTTAAAGGCAGCATTAAATTGCATCAAATCAGTCTTGCTGTAGGGTCAGTGGAGATTCATTATTGAGCAGTTCTGTTGGAGCTGTTGCACGTGAGTCGAGTTTCCTCCTTGAACAGATATTCAGTCGGTTTGGACCATAATCCTGTAGAATATAATCTAATTTTATGTTTAAAACGAATGGAACCAGAGACGGCTCTGACTTGCATTTTTGTTTCAAAGATTAAATATAAAGAAAAACCTTATTATTATTTTTTTACCTCAGAAGAGCTTAAATTTTATGATTCAGTGAGTAAAAAAAAATCCACATTTCAGATCAGTTATTGGTGGAATGAATTAGAGCTTAGTGATGGTGAGTTCAGGGACCTGTGCTGCACGGCAGCGGTGTCGTCATGATTTCAGATTATCTGAAGAACTGATTATGCAGTTTTATGGACACGGCTGCTTTATTTCTGAGACGCAGAAAACAGAGTTGTATAAATGCACCTCAGTTCCTCTTCACGAGCCAAACGATGAGCTAAAATAACTTCTATATATTTTTACGGCTTCCTATTTCTTTCTTTTCAACACAGAGCTAAAGTTGGGCAGAGCGTAGCTGCTGTCCACCCTGTTAGGACGGGGACGTGTCTCCCACTCAGCTGGTGGCAGCAGCTTTTTCTCCTGTGAGCCGACTGGCTCTGAGTTGTCCGTGTACATGGAAATGAAGCCAAACATCAGCTGTTGTCCGCTGTGACTTGAGTTGGATAAAAACCCTTGAGATGGCTGGTCGACCTGTTGTTTCAGGGGGTTCTCTGACACATACTGCTGTTCTATTGAAGATGGAGGTCAGATGTAAGTGTAAACAGCTGATTAAGAGATGATGGTGGTGATGAAAACATCTGGATAATCAGGACAGATGATGGCTGGTTTAGTGCAGAATACCTTACGTGTAGGGCTGAAGAAATGACAGGAATACCTCTTACACTCTTTCATGGTGTCATAGTGAAGAATGGACATGGTCAGCAACAAGACTCGGGTAGGTGGGCTGTGGTGTTTAAAGCAGGCTCACGCGGTACTACAGGGTCCAAACTGGGACAAGGCCAGCAGCAGCATCAATACAAGGCAAGATGGATCCATGGTTTCAGCTACACGAAGAAGCGGACCACTACAGAGCAGTCGCCTTGACCTCCCATCTGATGAAGACTATGGAGAAACTCCTCCTCACCCATCTACGTTCAGTGGTGAGCCTGGAAATGGATCCACTGTAATTAGCATATAAACCAAACAGGGGGGTGGAGGACGAGCTCATCTACCTGCAGCACTGGGCTCTGACTCACCTCGAGATGCAAAAACGCACTGTGAGGATCATGTTCTCCGACTTCTCATCTGCCCTCAGCACCATCCAGCCGTGTCTACTGCAGCAGAAGATGAGGGGTGCAGGATTGGACGAACATCAGACTGCATGGACCATCAACTACCTCACCAACAGGCCACAGTACATGAGGCTGCACAACTGTACGTCTGTGGTTGTTTTGTGCAGTACAGGAGCTCCACAGGGCACAGTGCTCTCACCTTTTCTATTTACCTTCTACACCCTGGACTTCACCTACAACACCAGCAGCTGTCACCTCTAGGAGTTCGCTGAAGACTCAGTCATTGTCGGCTGTGTGTCTGAGGGGAATGACCTGGAGTACAGGTCAGTCATCATGGAGTTGCGGACTGGTGTGAGCGTAACCACCTTCGCTTGAACACCAGTAAGACAAAGGAAATGGTGATTGACTTCCAGAGAAACACTCCTCCTCACTCACCAGTAAACATCCAGGGAGCAGGCATTGAGGTGGTGGATACCTTTAAGTACCTGCTGTGGTCTGTTGGGGTGAAGGCAGCGCTAACCAAGGCTGAACAAGCTAGTTCACAAAGCTAGCTCGGTTCTGAGCTGCCCGCTGGATTCAGTTGAGGAGAAGTGTGAAAGGAGGATGCTGGTGAAAATGGCCTCCATCTAAAAAAACTCCCACCCACTGCATCCCACTGTGGAGACCACGGACAGCTCCTTCAGAGGCAGACTGAGACATCCCAGATGTGAAACAGAACGCTACCGTAGGTCATTCATCCCCTCTGCAGTAAGACTGTAGACCTCCTCAGTTTAACTGGTACTGGCATTATCCTGGTACACAATACCACCAGTGCAATACTCAGTATGTGTTCAATACTCGTGCAATACCGGAGTTACATAGGATGTCTGTGTCCCTTGCACTGCGCTGTATAGTTCTGGAATCCTAGTTTCATTTTTATTCATGGATTTTATTGGTCGAAGGTGACAATAATACCTTACGGTCTATGTGTGTACGTATATACAGGGTTTTTCCTGCATTCAAATTAGCATGGCGGCCGCTTCCAGCTAATGTTGTGCCGCCCCAGCCTGATTTCACTCTGCCCCCAGCTATATGGATGTTATTGTAACTGCAGTTGCAGCGTTGCACCACTATGGGGCGCCGTATCAGCAGCGGTGCACCGAAATGCGCTAAAACCGCTGCAGAAAGAGATCAAAAATAGCTTTTCTCTCTAGTTGGTACATATCTATGGTTGGTGCTACTGATGTCCTGATTCTCCCCCAGGCTCTTCCATATCAGAGCAGGGCTGTACAGTGGTGTCTGTCTATTTTAAACGTAGCACTGGTGCAACATCTTTGAATTACAATTTTTCCCAGAGCTTTATTGAACAAAAGTAAGTTACGTGTGAGAAAAAAACTTTTTACTGGTACAGTGTGGTCATCTGGATGCAGAGGAGGAAAATAAAGGAACCAGCAAAGGCACAAAGGCAGAACCGGTCCAAAGTTTGGGATCAAAAGTGCAGCTACAAGCAGATTGGCTAATGCTAAAGCTAACGGGTAGCAGTCTCGCGATCAAGTGGCGCACAGAAAAATATATGATGATGGTAAAACTAAGAAAGACTAAACTCTACAAGCGGATGAAAAGTCCCCACCATCCTGTTTATTCTGCATCCTGCAGCGCTACGGATCAGAACCGCTGCAGATACGGGTCACATTCAAGCCCCCACAATGCGGTTCTAAAATCGAGTCAAACCCGAAGTACCAAAAATTGCAGTTCCACCCTCATCCACTAGGGGCTGGTGTCAGAAGCGAGCAAATCCTCATTGACTCCCATGTTAAAAATACCAATTTCACAGCAGAAATAAACATGTTTACAGCCTGGTACCAGAACATGTTTTTGGTTTAAATGATCTAGTTTACACTCATGACAACTCTGAGGGGGTGAATGTTTTTCTCACTCTTCTGTTTAAGTGTATTAAAAGCCTAAAATTCTGTATAATTAATGAGCATCAGACCCACGTGACCACAGAGCTAGCTCCGGGGAAAGGCCTCGGTCTGGCTTGGAAACTGCTCCGGGATTTTGAGTCTCTGTGTGTGTGTTTTGGATATTATTTGTGCAATTGTTGGACAAAATGACTTGCTGTGGCATTAATTGCACTAATAGAGCGTCCAAGGAGTCTCCACTTCATTTTTTTCGGTAAGTAAAATTATATTTATGTATTTTAGGTCACTGCCGAGCTGAGCTTAGATTTTAACATGTACTGTTTAACCATGAAATTTAAATGTAATAGGGTAAAACCCAGTGCATTTAACATAATGCTGCACTTTAGAAAATGGGTTGAAATATAACATGTTGGTGGAGCTGGGTTCCCACTATCGGCTTGTGGAGCTCTCGGGAGACCGATGTTTTCCACCCGTTCTCCCCTCCCCGCAGCCCGGTCCATCTCTGTCTGATCGTGGCTTCTGTCTGCTGCGCGGCCTGCCTGCTTGTGGAGCTCTCGGAGACCTCTGTGTTCCACCCGGTTTTACCCAGCGGTCAGCCCGGCGTGTCTCTGACTCAGAAGCTCTGGTGTTGTGCACAGTTAACTCCGGTTGTAGCTAGGTCGCTACCTCCGTTAGCTTAGCTCCCACCTCCACGTTAGCTTTGGGTTAGCTTGTAGCTAGTTCGACCGGGTGTCGTCAGTTGATCCCAGCCTTACAGCCCCACCCTCAGCTCCTCCTCTCTTCCCTTTTATGGAATTGTCTGGGCTTGACGGAACCTGTGACACGGTCAAAATGGCGGTGGTGGCCACCTCCCATTTGGCCTCAAAAATGTGTTATTGGAGTCTATGGAAACCCATTGTCCAATATTTATATGTCGATGGTCACATTACTGCTACAGGATCAGGAAGTGTGGCAAGCCATTGTAGCATATAATTCACAAACGCTTCTGTCTTTGATTATAATTTTAACTGGATTATTGCCAACCCGTACATAACAGACGTGCCACCATTACATTGTTAGCAGCAGAAATTAAATGTTATTACCATTTCCAACACAAATGCATGTTAATGAAATGCATTATGTTTTACTGCATATATTTATGTGTTATTTAGACTAAGATGAGTGTTATTAATACAAACCTAAAATGTTGCTGAAATGTAGGTCAAATATTTAAAAATATTTTAACTATAAATATCAGAAGGAAAAAAGGAACTAAACACCAATCTGATGCATATTATTGAGCCTTTTATGATATTTGGCCTTTAAAAAGGTGAGGCAGTTGAGTGCACAGAGTATGCATGTGCTGGTGCACGGTCAGGGCGGTACCGCCTCTGCCTCAGCCAGGAAAAACCCTGATATACGTGTACTTTTGTTATTGTTTTTCTTCAAACTCTTCTCCAGTTGTTTGTGTTGCTGTAATAAGTGAATATCCCCACAGTGGGATCAGTAAAATCTATTCTATTCTATTCTGTTCTATTCTATTGTGGTGACAGTGTTGTTGAATATTGCAGCTGAAATCCAAACTCCTCAAACCAGAAACGGCGTTTATTATCTGTTAATCTTGCCGTTATAACAGGAGGGATGGCTGGTGTGGGCAGGCTCTGAGTCACATCTTAGAAGGCTCTACGTGGAAACCATCTTTAAACCTGAAGATCTGATCTGTCAGCCTGACTATGTCCAGCTAGGGGTCATGTTTCTGTTTATGCAAAACAATCGTGGTGATAAAACAAACCTCAATCAAGTATTATTATTATTATTATTATTATTATTGGTGTTGCTGTCGTGTGTCTTCTCTCCTCCAGACCTGACCAGAAGTATAAGTAAGCAGACATGATGTATTTCTATAACTAGTTTTTGTGTCCACTGGGACGTCTGTGACGTACAGCAGACTAGACTCGTGTGTTGTGGGAGACTTGTTGATGAAGAGGTGGATAGACGGAGTGATGGAGTGCAGCAGTTAGGCCACGGTGACCATGTGACCCCGTCTCTTCAAAGAGCTGCTCTGTGCTTTGTTGTGAGCCGTGTGTTGTGCACACTGTCCCATTGTCTCCAGTAGAGACAGAGGAGGCCTCGCATAGACCTGACCACAGCCCTGTGTGTGTGTGTGTGCGTGCGTGCATGTGTGTAAAACCCTCTGATTATGGTTTTTGGTTTTGTAACAAAGGCTTGAACCAGTGGGGGTTGTCTGGGGGAGTCAGGAGAACCTTAAGTTATAATTAAGGAATCGTGAAAAGTTCCGAGAAACGTTGATGGCGGCCGGTCCGCTACGTTCCCGTCTTCTCTAAGGCTCGATGGTATTTAGGAACCATGTTTAGCTCATCTCATGCAATCTCATGAAAGGTCAGATGTTAAAGCCGTGGCCAGTTCACTGTTAAGGTCACCATGGTAACCATCAGTGGCCCATTAAGATTAGCATAGCGACCTTTAGCTGCTCTTAAAAGTCAAAATAAGTAGACCTTTTCAATAATTTGCTGGTTTGGGTCTTTCTGCCTCTATCATACTGCCTTCTGAAGTGAGGACACACGAATCTCTACTGACTCGAGTCCACGGTCGTCAGAAATGCACCCATCCATCATTGTTATGCCTTATCCTTGGTAGGGTGGGCTAATTCCAGCAGTCGTTGGATGATGGGCGGGGACCACTTGGACAGGTCCAGTCCATCACAGTTACAGACAACCAACTCGCACCTTGGGACGATCGAGTCTCCAGTCCACCTGGCGTGCATGCTTCTGGCCTGGGGGGGCGACCCTGAGTACCTACAGAGAGGAAACATGCAGCTTTCCTTCTGTAGGGCTCCAGAGCACCACGGGGCAGATACCTCGTTAAAAGGTCGGACCATAGGAAATATGAATGGGTGAACAGCAGCAAGAGTGTGTCAGTGCTGATGAATGAGTGTTTTTTACTGGATTATAGAGTTTCTTTAGAGGATGATGTTTTTCTCTGCGCTTCAGCTGTCAGTATAGAGTTCATTTATAATTTTAATAAGTCAAACTAAACTTCTCCCAACTACTTAAATGAACTTTAGTGCTTCCTCCCTCCTTTTGCCTCCTGTCCTCTCATCCAGCCTGCTGACGGCGAAGCCAGCCAACTTCGTTTTCCCAACATTCCCGGCACGTTAGCGGGCAGGCTAGCGTTTGTTTTCAGATGCTTTCTCAACTGTTCACCGCGCTCATCTCCAAAGCCGCCAGGCGGAGATGAGGATGGCCTCGGGGCGAGATGCCGAGCAGCGTTTCTGCTCTGTGACGGCGCGTGGAACTTGTAATTAAAGAGCTAAAATAAGAGAAGAAGAAGGAGAAAACTGGCCTGCACTCTCCTCCTAGCGAGCCGCCATCAGGCCTGGGCCAGGACTAATTGCTGGTGTGGGTGATCCAAGTCCTTCATCTTCTGAGGACACCCTGATGTGCTCAGTCTGCATGAGTAGAGCTGTGTAAGCAAGCGGGAGTGTGATTAAACACAGCGCTCCTCTGATGAGCGTGACGGTCTTCAGGTGTTTATGTGTGACTGATGGGCTTTAATCCAAACGCTGGGCTGTAATCAGGGCGGTGCGGCCTACTTAAGGTAAAATATTAAACATCTTCCTCGTCCTTCTGGGCCACAGACACCGAACCAGTGAGACCAAAGCTGACCTATCAGCTGAAGGACAGATTAGAATAAAACTGGATTATCTGTTCAGGTCCAGGTGCAGCTTGTGTTTTCTGACTCGGGTCCGACGGCCTGGTCCCTCCAGGGCGGCAGGACGTTTGCTCCTCTGTTGAGTTAAAAGCGTCCCGAGCGAGAACTTCCAGTTGGAGCTTTTATTGATTAATTTAGAGCAGAAGTGTGACGGATTATAGATTATAGAGCATTGTTGTTTTTCTGTTTCCTTAACCTGTACAGCCGTTGCTGTTTAAATAGCAGCTTTAGTTCTTCTTAGGTTCTTGTTTTATTGCCAAACAAAGACATCATTTTTACTTTGCTGTTTTAAGTTTTTATTGAAAGGTTTGTGCCGTAGCGTACGACCCCTGACCCCGTCGTCTCCTCCCTCTGAACCGTTTACTCAGGGTCTCATTTCCACGCTCAAGACAAAAAGCTGTCGCTGAACTAGCTAAACATTTGCTCATCTCCAGGTTTCGTGTTTCAGTCAGGCAGCACTTCCTGTTTTAGTTCCCGACCGGCTGCAGAACTTCCTGTTGCTCACGATTGTTTCAGAGTGACATTTTAAATCTGGGGCTCAATAGCTTGTCGTCTGCAGATGTTTCGTGTGTTTCAAGGCTCTGCAGAAGCGTCTAGGCTCATCTTTTTTCTCCTGCTCAAACTAAACCCACTCGGAATGGTGAGAAATGGGAAAACCATCAAAGGAAAATGTAAGGAACACGAGAGCTATTTGGGTTTAGTAGGAGTAAAAGTGTAAAAATTATTTAGATTTATTTCTGTTATTGTTTAGAGTAAGCTGAGCGATGAAGAGGCTGTCGGAGGGTTTGGGGCTCTAACCGTCACGTTTGTGTTTTCCAGTTACGGAGTGCTGCTGTGGGAGCTGCTGACGGGAGAGGCCCCATACAGAGGGATCGATGGCCTCGCCGTCGCCTACGGAGTCGCCGTCAACAAGCTCACCCTGCCTATCCCGTCCACCTGTCCTGAACCCTTCGCTCAGCTCATGTCAGGTAGGACGTAACACGGTTCTTTCCTCTCCTGTTGAGGTGGTAACAGCTAGAAAGGATCGCTCCTACCCACCTGCGGCCACCTCAGAGGACTAGTTACTAAGCGCCGCTTTTTATGCTCAAACGTTTCACCACAGATTCTGCATAACTCCCGATAACTCCCCACAGCAAGTTAACGAAGCCGAATCCGCTCCGTAAGGCTCAGCTCGGCCCGGAAACCCGGAAAACGCTCCTGAATATAAAAACTGCTGGAATTCATGAAACGTGACTAAGAGCAGAGAAGCCCTCATGCTGTGTGTGTGTGTGTGTGTGTGTGTGTGTGTGTGTGTGTGTGTGTGTGACAGAGTGCTGGGACCAAGACCCCCATCGAAGGCCCAACTTTGACTCCATCCTGTCTCAGCTGACGGCTCTGGAGCAGCAGGTGAAGGACGAGATGCCTCAGGATTCCTTCCACTCACTGCAGGAGGACTGGAAACTGGAGATCCAGGACATGTTTGATGAACTCCGGGCCAAAGAGAAGGTAAGACCGGATCAGATTAGAGTTTTTAAGCCTACGATGTGCTTTGTTTCTGAACCTGCGTTCCTCCACCAGGAGCTGCGGTGCCGAGAGGAGGAGCTGAAGCGAGCGGCTCTGGAGCAGAAGTCCCACGAGGAGTTCCTGCGTCAGCGTGAGCAGCAGCTGGCCCAGTGGGAGCAGGATGTGTTCGAGCGCGAGCTCAGCCTCCTCATCCTCCACCTGAACCAGAACCAGGAGAAGCCCAACGTCAAGAAGAGGAAGGGCACGTTCAAGAAGCACAAGCTGAGGAACGGAGAGATCAGCATGCCCCAAGGTGTGTGTGTGTGTGTGTGTGTGTGTGTGTGTGTGTGTGTGTGTGTGTGTGTGTGTGTGTGTGTGTGTGTGTGTGTGTGTGTGTGTGTGTGTGTGTGTGTGTGTGTGTGTGTGTGTGTGTGTTACACCAAGGATGTCCAGGGCTGACCACGTGGTTACAGACTCGATTGGGATTGTACGTTACTTCCCGTTCCGGACACGGATACAG